TTTAATTTTTCAATTTTTCGATTATTTAATTTTTCGTTTGGGTTTTTTATTTTCTATATTTTTACAAATTTTCGATTTTTCAATAATCAGATTTTATAAATTTTTCTTTTGTCAATTTCATTTTTTCAGTTTCTCGATTTGCAATTTTTCGGTTTTTTAGCTTTTCAATTTTAGATTTTTAAATTTTCCGTTTTTTCAATTTTAAATTTCTAAGTTTTCTAGTTTTCATTTTAGATATATATAGATATAATAATAATTATATTTTTTAAAAGTTTTCATGTTTTCAATTTTACGATTTTTCGTTTTTACAATTTTATAATTATTATATATATTGAATTGTAAAACATTTTCATTTATGTATTCAATTTTTAGATTTTAATTTTTTCTTGAAATTTAATTTTTCAATTTTTCATTCTTTCTGTGTTACAGCTTTGCGACTTTACAATTTTGACGATTTTATAATTTTTCGATTTTACAATTTTTGGGTTTTCCAATTTTTTTATTAAATGCTCCAGTTCTGGTTCCAGTTTTCAATTCATTAAATTTTTTCGATTTTAAAGTTTCTCGATATTTAGTTTTTCAATGTTTCAATTTTTCGTTTCTTGTGTTCTCGATTTGCAATTTTTCGGTTTTCCCCATTTTCTATTTTGCAATTTCTGGTCTTTTCAATTTTTTGATTTTACATTTTTTTTGATTTTTGAGTTTTTCGAATCAAAAAAAGAGGAAAAAAAAGTTGCAAAATTGTAAAACTGAAAAATCAAAAATGAAAAAACGAATAAATATAACATGAAAACTTTGAAAAATCTAAAAATTGGAAATCAAGAACTTGAAAAATCGAAAAATGGAAAGTTTAAAAATTCAGAAACTTAAAAATTGAAAAATTGAAAAAATGGAAAATAGGAATTAAAAAATCAGGAAAATGAAAAGTAAATAAGATGAAGAATTGAGGAAACGAAAAATTTAAAAATCGAAAAATTAAAAATTGAGAAAGTGAAAATTAAAAAATTGCAAAATCGAAACATTGAAAAATTTAGAAGTCGAGATATGGAAAAACTGAAAAAACTAAAGTTGAAAAACAAAAAATTATGAAACCGTAACACTGAAAATGGAAAAACTGAAAAAATAAAGAAAATGCAAACACGAAAAATTGTGATATCAAAAAATTCTAAAATCGAATAAAAATTAATAATAAGAGTTCTGTATTCCCAAATTTTCGGTAAAATGGAGTGAATCGTTAATGATTTTTTTGATTCAGCCTGTATAAATAATTCCAAAATCTATGAGTGCATTGATAAACCACAGTTAGAGTTATCATATTCTGCATATTTCAGAGAGAAACTTTTGATATATTTTAGAATGGTATAAACGAATGATTTGATTAACGATTTACCATGATTCCGATAGCCTTAAAACGTTTGCAAGAATTCAGATCATTGGGTTTTGCAGTTTCAGAGTTGAATTGGATATTGTTGTTATACAATTTTTTTTGCAAAAATCTGGATGTCTAGGGTAAAGCCTGAACATGGATTCATAAACCACATGTGAATGATTATTTTATTTTACGACATTGAAATAATATTTACTAGTGTAAATTTTGAAGATGACGTCATCCTATTGTTGGTTAGCGTTTTACTATCTACAAGATATTCTTAATACAAATATAAAATTTGACAACAATCGATCCAGTAGTTTCGGTTATTATCTGAGTAATGAAAATTCAGAGAGACGGCAGATAGACAGATGGACAGACATAAAATTTACGTTCAGGAAGTAAAAGGAAAAAAACGATGGTAGATATAAGGGATTTTTGATTCATTGTTTTCAGAAATTAGCATTAGCACAATAACACTGACATTAAAAATATAAGGAAAAATCAGAAAAATTAGCAGTAATGAATTTGTTTCATGCAGACATTATTGCTTTCTAATTTATGTGTATTACTACCCTAAAGTGTCAACTTTTAGACTTTAATTTTTATATTTTGTGAACAGAGTTAAGAACGACGAAAAATTAATTGCAGGTTCAAATTCACAATTAATTTTTTGTTGCGGAATCGACATTGTATTTACTTTTACCATTTATTAAAATTTTTATTGCATTTTTATTCCGTATTGCTCTGTTGGAAAGGTCAATGATATCTAGCTTGAGAATCTGCTCGTTCATTCTCTTAATGTCGGATATTGCGAGCTTTTATTAAACAGATGTCCTTCACTAGGTTTTTCCACTTGAAAAAAAAAACTGATATTTATATGGTCCTGAACATAAAAAATAAGCTGTGATAATAATTACCTACCAACTGTCGGCTTATTTCAAGGAGGCAATGACATGTATATTACAAAACTAGTACGAGGAGACTTTTCAATATCACTATCATAATAATTCGAAGCTTGCAGTGAGCTTTCTCGTCCAGCCACATTCAGTAAACGACTACATACATAGAAAGCTCTTTATTACAATCGAACGGGATAGAATGATCAAAATATAAGTAACACGTGTGCTAAACATACACTTATTTGGAAATTCAAAACTTCGCCAGCTTTATATTCGTGTCATCTCACAATACTTCTAAACCATTGGTTGTATTGTAATTAATTTACGCACTAGTAAGTATGATAAGAGTCATTTATGAACGAGAGTTTAAAAATGTTTAACCTAAATGTCACGTACAAATTTTGTTTCAGCCGATTGATGAATTCATGGTTGGCTGATAGTTTTGAATACCAACGAACCTGGATATATGTATATAAGACAAAAACGAACAAAAAAGTTATCATTTAGACAAGATTGGGACGATTTAGACATGTGTCGCCAAGATCTTTACTTTTTATTTCCCAAGTGTAAAGAAGTATTATAATTGAGTCCAAGGGGTGACTGTTACTTTCATATTTTTTCGACGTTTCATGACCTCCAAAGGTCATGTGTCAATTGTTTTCAAGTTTTCAATGATATTTAAATGTTACAAAATAACATACTTCTCCAGTTGTTGTTTATGAATCCGTGTCGAATTTTGGAAAAAAAAACAAAATTGTGTAACAACATTTTGTGCTTTGACTTTGAAATTGGAAAACCGACCTATCTAAAATCTTGCAAATGTTTTACGTTTATCGTAAGCATAAGTAAACTGTTAATTAAAATGCATCCGTTTATCCCTTTCCAAAATGTTAAAATTTTACTAAAATATGCACAATATTGAAAGATTATACTTGTCGTTTATTAATGCACTGATATGTTTTTCAATTGCTTTATACAAGGTGACTGAAAATTTCAGGATAGAGTACTGAGTAGTATTATTATTTACGTCTAAGATTCTGATATCTTGTAAGTAGTATTTATTTAATAGATAAATAATTATATGCTACTTCTAAGTAACTGTATTACATTTTCATAAAAGAGCCTGTTGATAAACAGTCAAACATAAACAATAAATCAAGTCGTTTACAAGTTGGCAAAAGACTGAAATAATTTATAGTAAACTGAGAATATATGTATAACAGAATGAATCTCGCATTTGCTAAATTTTTCTACCTCCGGCTTATCGACAATTCAGTTCGGCGTTCCGCAGACCCTCTAAGGTTTCCTATCTGAACATTTTAAAAATTTTATATCGTTTACAATGTAGCTTTAGCCGACTTTACAGAATTCAAGTGACGTATTAAAGCGACTTTAATTTCCTTAGCTTACCAGACGAATCCGATTGAAGCCAGGAATGTATTAGCCCTAAAGGATTTGTCCATCATTTCCCTTGAAATTTGTGAATGTCTATAAGGCGTCACATCAAAGCTTTTTTTGAGCGGAGAATGTTGACACATGAAAAAATTCATTCTCTGGTCCCTTTGAAGTAGCCTAAATTACCATAATGTCGCAATCACAACAATATTGAAAGAAAACATAATGCACATTTTATATGAGAAAAAGAGAAGAATGTACTCATTTCCCCACTCATGTCTAGTTTGGAAAAGTAATCAGAAGGGAATTTGTGTTCTGTAAGCAAGTTGAAATGAACGTAACGAAGTTCCGAGCTTTTGACAAATAATGAAAGCAAATGGTTTTGGAGTGATTCATGGCTATAAATACGGTGGCAGTGTTTTGGGCCAAATTTGTGAAGGCCAAGGTTACGAAATACACAGGTTTTGCGAAAACACATGTTAGTGGTCTGTAAACAAATAGTGGTGATGATTATTAACAGTATCATTTCACACCATATTAAATAACACACAATTATTATGTTTCCTGATTTCCGAAACGAAACGATTTTTTCAAAATTTAACTTTTTAAGCGACTTTATCTGCAAAGGGCGGATTATTTTCGTAAGCTGATTTGAGCGCATGCACATAAAAGAAACAAGAGCGTTCGTCTGGAAAACTGTTGCATCACATCCGGAAGTTTATAAGCTGCTAGACTATTGTAATTTCCGGAATTTCCGGACTCTTTAAAGCCCGATAACCGTAAAGTGAATAAACTCCATTAAAGTTTCATGGATTTTTAGGAGCTCTTTTATCGCTGTCCCTTTGTGTGCCCACTGTGTACACAAAAAAAATGAGGACGCATCACTGTGCGAATTTCCTAAAAGTTGGGAAAGTCTGCTCGTATAAATAAACACACGGATTTTGGACCTTTGTGCATACAAATGTGTCTGCTTCAGAAATCTAACGCAATTACATCCACTTTTTTCAATAAATAAAATGTTACTTAATTGTGCAAAAATCTTCCTTAAAAAGTGTATTGTGCGATGGAAAATATTTTGAGTTGTAGTAGGCCATGATCCACTGTGAACTTGCCACCTCAAATCCAGCCTGGTTTGTTACAATTTTGTTGTTTACTTTACCTGCCCCTTCTAAAATTCGTTCAATATGTATATTGTAAGCTTTTGACGGTTTTGATAATTTGTAATGAATTGTGTTTTCAAAAATTTTTAACCTCGATATTGTTCGAATATGTTGTCAAACTTTTTGTCATCCTGTATTTTAAGAATATTTTACTAATTTTTTTTTTCTTTACAGACGCCTGTGAGAAATATATTGGTTTCTACATCCGGGATTAAAATTTGTCCAACAAGGTAAGATTTAAAAAAAATGCTGGTTTTATTTTTGTCGTACTATTTGTCTTAATTTATTGGGTGAACTTATATAATTTAAATTTAGTTTCCACAGACAAAACTTTTTTGGAGATAAGCTCGAAAATTTTATAAAATACAGGGTGATTTCGTAATATGTGCAATAAAAAAAGGGGCGTGACCGGTCAAAATAGCTCCGTCAAATTAGCCCGGTATGAAATTTTTGTAGACAGAAGAAGAAATTATTATTAATTTTTATTTGTTAAAGTGCAACTGCCGACTATTTACAGTTTTTAAAAAAACACAGAACATTATTTAGTAAATAACTAATTTCTACAAAATGATAATTTATAATTCAAATGGTATACCTAATATTATAAAACATAAGCAACGAATGCTACTTAGAACTGACAAATCAAGGTTTTATTGAATAATTATCACTAGGAAAACTTGCAAACTAAAAAAAAATATGAGTAAAATAATATTTTGCCACACGAAAATATATTCAAAATTTTTTATTTAAATAATATTGGGTACAATATTGTAGAACACACTGAAGAAAGAAGCCAAAGAAACAATGTAATTTTATTATAAATGTAGATAAATAATAACAGTTACAAAGTTAAGTGTAACGCAATATTTTGTAGATAATCAAGGGACAGTTGTATGTTTGCACCAGCAAGACAGGTCAGGTCCAGTCAGGTCAGGTCAGGTCAAATCAGGTCAGGTTAGTAGTCAGTAATACTGATTTTGGCAAATGACCTACACTGTAAGAAAATAGAGGGTGGGTGGGCGGGACTAATACTTCCTAAGGTAAGACTAATTTTGGTAAATGACATACCTCCTAAGAAAATAGAGGGCAGGTGGGCGGGGTTAGTACTTGCCAAGATAAGACTGTTTTGGCAAACGACATACACTCTAAGAAAATATATTTTAGTTCTTCCAAGATAAGACTGATTTCAGAAAATGACGTACACTCTAAGAAAATAGAGGGTGGGTGGGCGGGGCTAGTACTTCCTAAGGTAAGACTGATTTTGCAAATGACATACCTTCTAAGAAAATAGAGGGCCGGTGGGCGGGGTTAGTTCTTACCAAGATAAGACTGATTTTGGAAAATGACTGAATGAATTTTGCTTTAGAGGCTTGTGGTCTTTGAATTCCTTTTTTAAAACGTCCGATTTCTATTTCCACTTTATCTTTATCTGTTTTGTGTTAATGACGTTAACTTAGGATGTGACATTTTTTTTTATTTACTGAATAGTGTATTTGTTAAACATGTACCTTGTGTTATATGTAGTAGGTTTAGGTTCCCAAAATGGTATTCAGGTGAGCTCAGAGGTTATAGTTATTAAGCTAAAAGAAACATTTTTCGTAAAAGTAAGTCATTAAGGTCCTACTATGAAGTCCATAATGAATATTGCGGCGTGCGAAAAATTGTTAACTCATTTCTAGAGATAATCGAAACTATATTATAAAAGTGCAAAGTTCTCTGATAGCTGACCCTAGATATTTTTAAAAATAAGAGAGGTCATACTTTAGTTCCTGGAAATGTGCATAACAATTGTGCTCATTATAGTAAACGATTTGATATTGTCAATGAGTTTTCTAGGCAATTCATTTCGTTCTTTAGTCCATCTATGGGTAACATAAATAGTAATAACCAACGCGCGGAATTGTGTTTCATACGCTAGATGGACAAGATCAAAGCATCCCCGCTACTCGCCGTAAAACACACCTTACTTCAACTGGGGGATTGCAGCGATGAGATAGATTCCCGCGTAGTGGTAATAACGCAGGCTTGGGTGGTGCTTATAATAATAGTAATTTTATTCATGTTAAAACTTAAACAGAGTCGTGTTTCGGGAGTTGGTCAGATTCCGAGTTTTATAATTAATAAAGGACTGTCTTCACAAAACCACTTTTCGATCTGATTTGAAAAAAAAGTTATTTTCCTAAACTATGGAAGATTGTCAAAATCGTTCCTATTTTTAGAAGTGGTGACCCCGCTGATCTCAGAAATTATAGGCCTATACGGGTTATTCAGCTAAGATGACCCATTTATGTTTTTAAAATAGGCCCCATAATACCGATTCCACCTGAACCTGGATTACAAAAAATGTTTCAAATTTATATTGTATCAAAGTTTGCTAAATGGGTCATCTTAGCTGAATAACCCTGTATCTTTGTTGTATAATTTGCCCAAAATTTTGGAGTCAGTGTTATTTTCTCAAATAAGCTTTCAATTGAAGGGTGTACTTACTGATCGTCAACATGGTTTTACTGTCGGTAGGTCGACTTTAACTAAACTAACCTCTATCTCACATTTGATTGCTGTTTCTTTAGACAAGAGAGGCCAGGTGGATGTTATTTACGTGGATTTCTCCAGAGCCTTCGACAGGGTCTGTCATCAAATTCTACTTAAAAAACTATCTAATATTGGCTTTTCGAACGAGAGCGTAGTAACTTTGTTATAATAAATGATTATAAATCTGACTTCTATCGTACAGAGTCTGGGGTTTCTCAAGTATCTACAATGCTATTTGAAATGCTTTGCATCTTCCAGAAGTGTTGGTGTACGCTGATGACGTCAAAATATTTCGTCACATAAAAAGTGTTAGCGGCTGTGTATTATTAGAAGAGGAGAGAGGACTTGAATCGGTTGATTGACTGGCCAGTTGTTAATTCACTACCGCTTAACAATGCAAGTGCAAGATCGTCACTTATACAACACGTTTCAAAGCCAGTGAGCACAACTACCATTTAAGTAATCATATTGTTACGAAATAAACCCATACGCTGTCCCGATACGACGCCTATGGGTCTTCTAGTATGTATGTGTTTCTTCTAGTATGTAGTATAACTCATCGACCGGTCAAAGCGGCGTCCGCTAAAGAAAGGCCTAGAAGCCGAAGTCGCGGTGGATTCGAGAAAGACCTCGATTGCGAAACATCGAGAAGGGAATATGAGTTTACATGGAGGCCACCTTCGGGAACGAGATTATTCAGTGGGACCGAGTCTAGCGAATGTTAAGAAGAGCTAGTACATAATCGCTGTGAGTTAGGCGTGTATATTTGAGTTAGTAAGGAATAAATTGTTGAGTTTTACCCATGTCGATTTCGATCACCCGTACAGCGTAACAATATTTTTTTAGAAAGGTGTACCTCCATCAAGGACCTGGGAGTTCTGCTTGACTCACAACTCTCTTTTAAGGATCCTGTTTTGATAAAGAATGCTAAAAAGGCCCTAGGGTTTATACACAGGAATTGTAAAGAATTGGTTGATTTGGAGACACTTAACTGCTTTATTTTAGATTAGTTCGTTCGAAATTGGAGTATTGTTCGTTGGTATCGTCGCCATATTACAGTTACCAAATAGAAATGATAGAGGGTGTTCAACGAAAGTTTCACAAATACTTGTTTTTTAAAGCAGAGAAACGATGGATAGTGAGAAATTACCTACAAACTATGCTGTTAGAGAAGTTTAGAGGTACATCTTTGCATTGTAGACGCATAACTGCAGCCATAATTTTTTTTCTATAAAACTCTACATAACTACGTTGACTGCGTTGCCGACTGTTGAGAAACTCAGTGCTAACCTTCTACAGAATTATTTGTTCGAGAAAGATCCTCGATGACATGTTGATGTATATAATGTACATTCCACACATCTATGGCGAACCTTGGTGTACTATGCCTGTTTCTGCTAAATCGTGCAATAACATTATCTTCCCAATAACCAATAATATTGTTACGTTGGATGGCTGATTGAAATTGGCGTGGGTTAAACTCAACAATTTATTTCTTAATAACTCGTATTTACATTACTAACTACGACAATGATTATAAAATAATTCCGGCGCAACTTCTCTTGACTCAACTAACTGAATAATCCGTTCCCCAAAGGTGGAATCTATTTAAACAGTACGCAGTCGTTCTCGAAACCCTACGTCACCGCTTCTGGACTTCTCCGGAATCCCCATTCGCGACTTCCGTTTCCAGGCGTTTCTTTAGCGCTCCGTCGCTCAGTCGCACTGAGGATGAATCATGACCGGCGTAAGACCAGAGAGTTCTGGACGGCCATAGGCGTCGGACCGAGGGACCGACGGTCAAACACTGTAATGACGTCAATCTGAGGTACAAAACTTAAAGCCAGCAGCAATTTTACATTTAAACGATTTTCTCCATTTCAAGTTTGAAATTAAGATGGACGAAGAACACCATAAATTTCTTGGATATCACAAATTCACCACTCGAACTAATGAACGACTAATACTGAACAGATGATGGCAAATATTTTTAAGTACTAGTCTTTTATAACTATTTTGGTGGATTAACTACCTACCCTACAATAAAGTGGATTGGTATGTTTAAAGCGGCTCGTTCTCGGGGGTGGTTTCCACAAAGTAAATTATATCTAGAATATGGGAACAGGTAAATGCTTCAGAGATCTGCATAAACAGGTCAACTATTCTTCGAATCCCAGGTCATTTTAAAACCAGAGTTTATAATATTACTTTAGATTATAACTTAAAAATTATATACCACACTTCTAAAAACCAAAAATGCGGTTTTAGATTTTCGGTAAACTATGATGTTTAAAAGTAGTGCATGTAAATATTCGTTGTGATATTTTTGCTCTTTGTGGAGATTTTTATATATTGGGCTATTTTCACCGGGTTATTTTGTCGGCGTACCGCTTTTTTCCACCTACTGTTTAAAAAGTGGATTAGTAGCAGCGCATCGAGGGTGGTTCACGGGGGTTTGCCCCATTCGACTTTAATTTGTTTTTTCTATAGTTCCACATTAGTGTGGTACGTGATGTCGTGGTTACAACTATTCCATATATTTAGAAATCAGCCTATATAGAATGCCCCATTTGATTAAAATGAGAACATTGTCAATTTAATTTAATCATCCCTTATAAATAAGTTAAAATAATATTCCTGAGAATTTTTAAGAATGACCATTTATTTTTCTCACCATCATACCATGAGCTAAGTAACA